GGTGGCGGTAAGTAAATAAGAATTACCTGGGGGCGGTAAGTAAATAAGAATTACCTGGGGGCGGTAAGTAAATAAGAATTACCTGGGGGCGGTAAGTTAGTAGGTTATACCTCATCTTCGTGAATTATCTGTCGCTATTGGTCACCGATATTTAAAGAAATCGGTACGAAAAGGGTGGGAAACATAGAGAGGGGCAAGGGGGGGGGAGGAAGTGGGGGGGGCAAGAAAATAGGAGGGGTTAAGAAGAAGAGGATCGGGCAAACTCGGGGGAGTGGGCAATGGGAAGAGGAGGAGCGCAGGAGAAGCGCAGGGGGGTTGCGCTTCTGGATATCGGAAAAGAGGACACGAGGGAGAGGGAGGCGGAGAGGGGGAGAGAGGGAAGAGAGAAAAGAAGAGAGAGAGGAGGAGGAGGAGGAGAAGGAAGAAAACGGGATCACACAGGGCGGGGGAAAAAAAGACAGATCGGGGGACGGGGAAGTCGGGATGATCATGTGACGAAAATCGGGGGAGGGGGAAGCGGAGAGTGGAAGAGAGAGGAGGGAGAAACAAGGATAGAAAGGAGGAGGAGGAAGAAACACGGGGAAACGAGGGATCTGGGAGCGGGGATGGCCGGGATGAGGATGTGAGGGAAATCAGGAAGCAGGGAAAGACAGGATCAGGGTTGTTGGGATCGCAGCAAAGGAGGAAGAGAGAAGGAAGGAAGAGATTCGCGCGTGCAGATGACAACGTCGAGAGAGGGATCTGGAAGTCGCGATCGCGACGAGAGGATGGAAAAAGAATGGGCGCAGGACGGACCAGGGCAGCGAGATGGAGAGAGCATGGGGGGGAGGTAGAGCCACAGGCAACCTCGATCTGGATCGGGATGTGGTGAAGGATGAGTCGCAAGTCGCGGTTGAATTCACGGAGTTCGACGAACGAGATCCTCCATTTCAACGCCTACGTAGAGAGAGAGGGACAGCGCGATCGCGATCGGGACGTGAGGCAAAAGCGGGCACAGCTTGTCCGGAATCAAATAGCAGCGATCAGCAAACTCGCGGGGCAAATTTGAGTGGAAGAGGCAGAGAGAGAGAGAGGATGCAGGCGATCGCGGGACAACACCAAAACCTCTCAGAAACGCGCGTGCGCGAGAGCCAGCGAGCGAGCGAACGAGAGAGACAGAGAGAGAGAGAGATGATCTGTGCGATTTCGGGACAACAGCAAGACCTTTCAAAGCGCAAGAGAGAGAGAGAGAGTCTAGGCGATTCCGGGACAGCCGCAAGATCTTCCAAAAACGCAAGAGAGAGAGAGAGAGAGAGAGAGAGAGAGAGAGAGAGAGAGAGAGTCTAGGCGATTCCGGGACAACAGCAAGATCTTCCAAAAACGCAAGAGAGAGAGAGAGAGAGAGAGCGGGCGAGCGAGCGAGGGAGCCAGAGAGCGAGACGGGGGGGGGGAGAGAGAGAGAGAGAGAGAGAGAGAGAGAGAGAGAGAGAGAGAGAGTTACAGTCATCCACAACCAAACAAGAGCATCGAAAGCGGATAGAGCACACCCAGTCGAAGTCGATGTAGACACAGCAACTCGAACGCCGAGCGGCTATTACGTCAGTGTAAACCTACCAAGAGCTTTGAGACGTCAACACACCAAATCCTCAAAGGCGATGACGGCCATGGGAAAACCCACACGCACAACCTCCTCCCACCGGGCGGCCAGTTTGGATCCACTTTGCCTTCTCACCCTTATCCGCCTACAGCCCGGCTCGAACCCTACTCTCCCAATCCGCCCCTTAGCCCCGCGGTTCTGTTTTTCTTTTCGCGATACATAACACCAGTCATGCCCCGTTATAGCCCCTTTGTCCACAGGAACTGACCGCGGCCACGGGTAGGCGAGATCTTGCGTCGGGGCTACTCGGGAGGTGATAAGGGCTGAGCCCCCAGAACGTGGACTCCACCCATTGTGGTGGCCCCAATCTATTCAATTACCTGTCGAATCTGGACAGGACGGCCTTTCAGGCCTTTTTTATTGTCATTGTAGTAATACGGGGAACCCCGTAGCAGCCACATCCGGGCTCAAGCCTCCAACGAGGGAACATGCGGAAGCTGCACCCACCACCAGGTCCGATACCCCTGCTACAGCAGGTGGGCGATACAGGCCAGGGGTCAGCCTGATGGTAGCATCAGGACCGAGCTTCTTCGATTGGCCAGTCACTGTGCCTCCCCTCCGGTCCCCTCCCCCTACGAACTGACAGCAGCGAGGACGCGGGCCCGCAGCCCGTACGTAGCAGGGACGGCGAGTAGGAGTGAGGCATGTGAACCCAAGTTCAAATACAAAACAAAAATGATGCATTGATGCATAGATGAGCACGGGGGACTGGACCTTCAGCCCCCTTCAGCACTTCCAGCCGCTTTGTTTTCTTCTTTTTTTTTCCAAACAAATCTTAATCGAGGCCGGGGCTCCTCACAATTCGACCCTATTGGAAGATGAGGGAGTATTGGACTGGGTGATAAGTTTTTGGAAAGATCGGGATGAAGCAAAAACCTTCTTTGACTCGAGAGCAGAATGGTTGGATGTTGGGATAAGGATCATCTCCAGCAAGATGGAAGTTTTCTCAGTGATAGCAGTGTTCCTAAGAAACAAAGAAGAAGTGGACTGTAGAAGGAGGGTGGATGAAGCGGAAAAGAGGATGATTTAACATCCGATCTCAGAGTTGGTTTGGGCGGAAGAAAGAGCGGTCACACTGCAAAACTGGGAACGGCTGCAGCAGGAAAAACACAATCGTTGGGAACAGATCCTGTTGGAGAAGAAGATTGCTACAGGGGACCGCTTGTGCAAGGAAACCTTTCAGAAGCTTCTGCCAAAAAGGAAGTCGGTACAACTGAAAGAGTTGGCCCATCCGCACTTTGCGTCTCTCCCACCAGCTACAGTCAATGAGGAGCTGTGTGAGTATGCGCAGGCTTATTTCCAGGATATCATGACTTCTCGTTCCAATTTCAGCGATCCGAAAACAGATTTATCTTTGCACTCAGAAGTCTGAAACTCTCTGGAGGTTGAGTTGTCTGAAGAAGCTAAGGAAGCACTGGACAAACCGATTTCGGTTGAGGGACTATCTCATACCATTGCAACTGTGGTCAGCGGAAAGTCATCGGGTGACGATGGGCTAGCGAGGAAGTTCAACATAGCAGTGGTGGAGGAGTTGGCGGCATTGTATAACAAAGTTCTGAATGGAGAGAGGCTAGGACCTACTATGACACGGGGCATCATAACCTTGCGCTACAAGAAGGGCGACCGCAGCGAGATCAGGAGCTGGCGGTCAATCTCTCTGCTCAACTTTTCATATAAATTATTGGCCAAAACCATGGCGAACAGACTAACAGTTTATCTACCAAGCCTAGTAGGTTTGGACCAAGGAGCATTTGTAAAAGGCAGATCAATCTTCGACAACTTAGCCACTGCAATCGAGGCACTAGAAGTTATTGGAAACAGAAATCAGGACGTCGCAGTTCTCGTGTTGGACATGGAGAAAGCTACGACCGTGTCAACTGGGCGTTTGTTCTCACGACCCTCAAGAAAATTTTGGAGGCAGGTTCTGCAACATCGTGAAAGGCCTAAATGTGTTTTCAACAGCAGCAGTCCAGGTTAACGGTTGGCACAACACAAAATTCAAACTGACGCGCTCATTAAGACAGGGGTGTCCACTGACCCCTCTTCTTTTTGTAGCCAGCTTGAGGTGCTATTGAATGACATTAGAACACACTCGTTGCTCTCTGGTTTGAATCCGCGCAGAGGCAAGGAATGCAGGGTAAAGGCTCTAGCAGACGATCCGCTGGCTCTGTCGGTGAATGAGAAAGTCTCTCTGGAAGCCTTAAAAGGTTGTCTATATCGTTATGCAGAGCTTTCCGAAGCAACTATTAATTGGAACAAGTCTATCTACCATCTCCCTCATGACTACAAGCTGGAGGTGGAATGGGGTATGCGGAGAGTGCAGGAGGGAAAAGCAGAAAGATATTTGGGAGTACAGTTGGCACTAGAAGACTGTAGAGACTCTCAGTCAACAATCCTACAAGAGAGAGTCACTAAGAGGATTCGCAGTTGGGGTCTGGCCCCGCACCTATCGCTAATTGAAAAAGCGCTAGTTGTAACAGTTTCAACGTTCTCCATTCTCTGGTACATTGCAAAGGTCGGGAGATTGTCTAAACCATTGGTCAAAGGGACAAGAGCAGCGGCACGGAGATTCATCTGGAAACCCAGGTCAGAAGAGGATAAAGGTTATATAGCGAAGGTGGTCTGTGATACTTTATGTGCACCCAAGGGACTTGGAGGTTTGGCGCTGCTGGACCCTGATTCTCAAAATCTCAAGCTCCTCTCAAAATGGATTCTGAAAGTGGCAACGACAAACCTACAGGAAGATTGGTGTATCTTGGTAGAGGAACTACTGAGCGAACAATGGGGGTTGTCGCGTTCCGAGGACGTTTGGGTGACCATCATGATTCAAGTTTTCCTATGCAAGAGATCCAAGTCGAGGCTTTGGTAGGATATCCTAACAGCGTGGCAAAAAGGAAAGCCAAATCTGACAGCACAGCCAGTCAACAGGGCAAAGGTTCTCAGACAACACCTTTTTGAGAACCCGCGGATTCGAGGCGAGGACGATGAGCCATTCAGTGCCAACACTAGCGCAGGATCCTTCGGTATGAAGTGGATAAAGAGGGCGTTTAAAGGGTAGGAGATTTGTGGGACCAGCTAATAGGACAATGGAAGTCAGAGGGGAAGTTGAAGGAGTCGCTGGGGCAATTAAGAAATCAACAGGAAAGGAGGCTCAATCTGCTTAAGGTCATTCCTCCGGAGTGGTGTGAACTGTTGGGTGGGAGTTGGATCCCAACAAATGGTAGCTGGTTTAAGGAACGGGTAGCCGATCACGGAGTAAGAAAAGAGGAGTTTATCAGATTGGAGGAATGGGAGGAGGAGACCCCAGGAAAATGCAGAGTGGCGATCTTCAGAAGATCTGTCCCAGGGCTTCCTTTACTCATAGAAGAGAGAGAGTGTAACAGGTATGGCCTCACAGACTTGAAACCCATAAGGGTGGAGCCGGGGAGTCAAAGTGGATGGAGACTGGTAGACGACGGAACAGCCATTGAAGATTTGCGTATTGACAAGGCAACTTGGGTCTGGAAGGTGAACGAGGAAGAATGGTGGGATCTGGTGAAAGTGGAGGAAGAGATAGTTCAAAGACAACACAAAAGAGAGCGGTCAATAGGCAAACATTTGATAGACAAGTGAAAAAGGGTTTGTCCACACTTGGCCCCACCCAATGAGGAAGATCTCCAGAGGGGGTGGTTACAACTCCCAAGTCTCCCTTCGCAGAAGCTTGCATCCCTGCTCTGGCTGCAATCTCATCATGCAGTGCCGGTGGCCAGATGGTTGAGGAAGAGGGGTATGGCGGTTAGTGAAGTACGTGGCAGATGTAACTGGGTGTTTGAAACCATGCATCATTTGTGGTGGACGTGTCCCAAGTCAAGAAAGTGGTGGAACTGGTGGTTCAAACACTGGGAGAAGTGGTCTGGGAGGTCAGACCTGACGGGGGAACGATGGGTGATTTTGGGCATCTTGCCTGAAAATTTGAAGACAAACGAAGGATGGGGGTATGCAGCACATGTGTGCAGGGCAGTTCAGCTATGGGTAATCTCGAACGACCGAAATGATCAAAGGTTTAAGGGTCAGGGTATGGCAGAGGCTCAGGCGAAAAACATGTTCCACAAGTTACTCCAAAACGAGATTCAAGCGGACTGGAGGAGGAAAGCAAGGAGTGGAAGGAGTAAAAAGGGATTGAGATGGTTCCGAAAAACATGGCCCCTGAACGAGGCAGTGATTTGGGTAGCGGAGGACGGTAAACTGCACTTCTCCAAGTGGTGGCACAAAACTGTGCATGGGTTAGATGGAGCAATAGGTAGTAGAGGGTAGGTAGCGTCTGTTTCCTATTTCAGGGTCGTTGGCTTTCCGGTCTAGTGGATATTCTTTTCAACAGAACCAGGACACTCGGTTCCCATTGGTGGCCACAGTAGGCCACACGGGGAGGGAAGGGAGGAGAGTGTCAGAAATTACAAACGGAACAAGAGTTCCGCTCAACCGAGGTGGGTCGGGGTCAGACCGTGCTTGGTAGGTTTGTGAAATAGTATAGAATAAGGGTAATAGTAGAACAGTATGAACAAAGTAGGTAGGTACGTAAGAGTAGGATGGAAGGAGATAAGAGTCATGTGAGAGGTACAGTTAAGTTGAAGTTTGCAGACAAGAACAAGTTTTTGTGAAGTTGATTCAGGAAGAAATATCTGAGTGAAGCACGTTTCTTCGCAGTCTGTCAACTGTAAGCTAAATTGGTTGATGCTGCCAGGATAACTCCGGGTGGAATTGTGAGGTCCCCGGCCTCAAATTTGACATTGGAATATCAAGGAATTGAGTTGGGCTTAAAAAAAAAAAAAAAAAAAAAAAAAAAAAAAAAAAAAAAAAAATCGACCCGGTGTTATCCCGACAGCATCAGCCGGTTTAGCTTGTCAGGTCCCTTTAGGTACACAACACTGAAGTTTTAAATTTGTACTTGTCC